CTGAGTTGGGATGAAATGGTGCCCCGGTAGCGTAACTGGTAGCGCACTTGCCCGGAAAGCGAGAGGTGCGGGTTCTAGTCCCGCCTGGGGCGAAAGTTTTGTTCACAACCCAGCATTCTTGTGAAACATTCGCAAGGCGAACTGCGGCCAAAAACAGCAGTTAACAAACAAAAACAAGTACATATAGAATTTTGAAGCAACGAACACATTCAGAATGGAACATTGACTAAAGCACAACGTGAGGAAGCTTTGGATAAATGGGCGGCGCAGTACAATCTGGTGGTAGGTTCCAGCGTTGTTGCAAAAGTTGAAAAAAACATTACATATTCGTCCTTTCGGCAAGGAAAGAGAATTCATTTGAATCCAATGCCTGGTGACCCATCATTTCAAATCTATCTAGTTCAGCCTACCTCATATTAAAAACTTTTGTGACCTTCAATACTCCTTAACGGTACCTTTTATACACAATCAGTTTTGCTTCGCCCGCTATCGCGCGCATGTCAACATAGGCTTCAGTGAAACAGTATAGCCGTTCTATTGTGCTAAGTAATATAACGAATATGCGAAAACTTCATATAACACTACGAATCGTCAGAGTCGAGCAATTATCATGCGATTTATTTATTTATGCGGGCCAATGTGTAGATTAGACAATCCTGAAGAGGACAGAAGGAGAAGCCAGACTAAGCAAAAGTAGATATCAAATTTGAGCCACAGAGCGTTCGATTGGCACCGGAGCTGCTTACCACTCGTGCATCTAATGATATTTTTACTATAAATCTGTGGTGTCGCGAACGCGATGATCGCTCCGAGGGAATCCGGGGCGCGCCTGGTCCCGTAGGCTAGTTGCCGTCTTGACCCCTATGTATCTACTTCGCGATCGTGCGGCAACGCACGGTGCTGTTCTCGACAGCAACATCGCGAACCTTCCTGGGTACCGTTCTGTCGTATGGGCTCTCCTAAATCATCTCTATGTGCACGGCAATCCTACGGGGCTTCGAGCCCTTAGAACTAATTTGGATATCTTCTATATATATATGTATATATATATATATTGTGGATTTATCGGGAAGCTAAAATATCCTCGCAGTTGGTCGTCTGACGGGTCTGTGGCAGAGACCCGACGTGAGTTCATTACTACATTCCGTTACTAACACTTTTATTGGTCTTAACTCCTTGTAAGGACAATGACTAGTAATACATAAATACTTTGTACTATTTTGTATTTGTTGTGGTATAAGGTATTCTCCTCATTTCGGTACCTCTTTCATGTAAGTCGTTATGCCTTAGGGCCATAGGAGTGGTGACGCGGTAGGTGTTAATTGTGTGCGCAGGCTTTAGTTCACAGCTGTAAGGTCAAGTCATCTAAGGGCAAGGCGCTTAGGAAGGCTCACGCGTTCCTTCTTAGGCTACGTGCGCTTCCGCCCCACGGTCGCCGATTCGCAACATGTGGTATGAATATGCGGAGTATAAGAGGGGGTCCTATCGGATTCCTCGTTAGGGGGAGGGGGGTGTGTAAAAGAATGGCACGCAATTCCCTCCATACGATTGATCACCCGTTCGCTACACTACTGCTGACAAAGTTCAGGATGCCTACAACTCCTATAAGAACACAACCGAGCGGGCAAGGGCCGACCGACAACTTGCGATTCTGAGAGGACTGGACGAGTTAGGAAAATTTTTCAAGGAGTTCGGACAAATCCAAAACAATCAAGTGAGTTATTTTTAGTTAATAGTTGCTGTTTTACGCTGCAGTTCGCGTTGCAAAACTTATCACAGGAATGCTGTTGTGGGCAACTAGTCGGCCCCAGCCCGCTTAGTTCGCGCCTTGCCTGATTCTCTTGCTTTCCGGGCAATATTTCGCTGCAGATACGGAGGACCCCATTGGGCACCTTTCCGCCTACTCAGCTCGAGCAGAAAATAACGATAGCTTAACGACCAGCATTCACACGTACGTATAAGGTGATTAACCGGTCGTCCGGTTCCTACAGTAAACCGCGATGCTAAAAGCTCTATCAGATGTTATCACTTTAACTCGATTTTCCCTCGCGTCAACTACGTATACTTGTTGTTTTACGTCCCAGTTCGCTTTGCAAAAACGTAGGCAGGGATCCAGCCTAACTTATTGCTTACGTGCGAACTTATCTTGGGAGAAGAAGTACCGGCCTCGCTTCAATTCAATCACGTAGAAGTGTTGATGGGTTTGAAAGTAGTAATGAAAGCTAGACCTAAGATGTCTTCAAGGCCTGCAGTATTTAATTATGCATACCCTTATATTATACAAGCAGGTGTATCGATTTGCATGCATGTGCAGCGGTTGCCATCAGGGTCAACCGTCACGTTGGACCGATTTCGAAAATTTTACGACCCCCTCCCCCTTCTAGAGGGCCTCGATACGACCCCCCCCCCCCTTTTTCCACCCCAAATACGATCCTCCACCCCTTGTTGGGCTTTGTCCAACGGACAGTTGACCCTCGTTGCCATCGGTCGAGGACCTCGTTGAGTTCGAACCGTGCATTGTTGATCTCGTGGGTAAACCTTCTGATGCCGTATGTGCGTATAAATTTGAATGAACGCATTAGTTTCGATTCTTTGTGTGCGCGATGTGTAAATATTCCGTTTTTAAGATGGAGGACGAGTAATCTTTTTATCGTCCTCTCCTCTGTGCCTAAATCGGCATGTGTGTTTCTCTATCAGAACAATGGAGGCAGCTGATGAACCAAACTAGCCGCTATTGAAGCTGAGAAGCTCTTAGGTCGTGTGATATCAAGCTATGTAGCGGATAATCGTGGTAGCCTCCCAACTTCTATGGAAACCATCACTGAGCACACTGGACCATTTCGCATGGTGTTGCAGTGATTGCCGGACCGCAGGGAGGAGCAAGTGATAATGGGAGGGGGAGGGGAAGTAGTGAAACTGACCGCTATTAGATCAGGTTGGAGCACTTCACGCTAAGTTGAAGGTCAAAGAAGGGGAAACTCACTCAGTAGAACAGGCACACCTCCTTAGGGTGATGACCGACACGCGATTCTCTGAAAAGGATATGCCTTGGCTACCTAGCATGGCCCTCGCGTCGCTATCTGTGCAAGACGCTTATCTACTGGCAGTTCTCTACCCCTGTAGTAGAGAGTGTCAGCGTTGAAGAGGACAGCATTGTTGAGAGTCCCCTCAGTGAAATCAACATGCAAGGAAGGAGGCTTATTCCTCGGATTTTCGCTACTTCTCATGCGCTTTTCTTTGTACCAGCCCCACTGATCACCTCTTCCTTATTTCTGAGTGCCTTCAAATCTTAAACTCCGCCTTCAAAAAATGAGTGCTAATGCGTCATTCTAATGATCATGATAGTGATGAGATCCTTCACCACACATACAATTCAATCTTTTTATGGATCTGCATCTTCCCCACGCAAAGGTGATCCGTAATATTTATTTTTTTAGAATATCACGACTGCTCAGGAGAGAGAAGCTATCGCAAAGCTGTGTGAAAGTCTGGATCCGGCAACACGGCAGGCCGTTGACTACCTGCTACGACTTTATGGAAGCCGCCCAGGTTTCAGTGGTTTCGGGTTTTCGAGATCGGGACTGTCGAGATTATTTGATGCTCCTTTCTTTCCATTGTCGAACGGAGCATCACGATCGCTTTTGTGGTAGGAGATCACCATATCCAAATTTTCGCTTGTGATAAATATTTTCATAGCCTCTGGATTTTTATTTGAGCCGTACACCATGCGTAATGTGTGGAGTGAACATCAGTAATTCATCGTAAGTGGAAAATTTATTCGACGGTTCGCAGGGTTATAGTAAGGCTACTGGAGACGCGTCTCAGGCAGTGAGAGAATAACAAAGTTTTCTGGAGGATTTACGTCTACAAATTACAAGAAAAGAAAAATTGAGGATGCTACTATCTTCTATTGTCCTATGTACTCCTGAAAATCTGAGCCGAATTTTTATCAAAATTTGTCCGCGACTAAGATTTTGGCTAGGAATTGCCCTGAGGATAGTTTGAACCGCAATACGAATATCACATTCACTTATGGTTAGCGCGGAAACGCGTGGCGTCCGCTCTCCAGGTGCCGGCTTCAAAAGGGACCGGAACACCTTGGGTCGCGATGTTTGGTGGAAGCTTGGCTCGCAGCCTACAAGTGCCAGTGCCGAAGTGCTGTGATAGAGTCGGCGACTGTGGCACGAAGGCCAGGCATTCCATGGATATGGTCCTATGCGCCATACAATAATGTGACAGTCGTGTTTCACGGGTTGAAATACTCCGAGAGACAACTTTCTAGCCAAACCCTTGGTCATGGACAAATTTCTATTAAACTCGGCTCGATTCTTGTGGAGCGGGGCAATAAATAGTGCCAAGTTGAGATCTTCTTTGTCGAAAATCAATGAGAATGGAAGCATTATGAATAACCAGTTTTGCTCCGCCCGCTATCGCGCGCATAACACGGTAGGCTTTAGCGAAACTGGAGGACCTGTGGAACATCTGCTGATCTACTCCACAAAGCAGCTCACTATTGGATATGTTAGTGGAGTGACCTGAGGTTGGAGGATCTCCACTTTCATTGAAGTCCATCATACATGCGCGTGCGAAGCTGAGTCTGGTATTTATCACAACTCTGTAAACACCTAGCATTTTTCTTGAATCCTGACAATTTAGCGGTGATTAGGGTTTTGCTGTTAGCCTTAGAATGAAAATGAAATATGCTCCTTATAAAAAGTGAGATCTGATGCTTATCTTTGCTTTACATTCACACTTCGCAAATCCTAAAGTTGAGCGGTTTAATGAGTTTGGCTTCGCTCGCTACCGCGCGTCAAAGTACATAGGCGGTAACAAAAATGAGCACAGCCGGGCCTCTTGTGTTGAACAGCACTCATGCTTTTGATGAATCTGAGAGATGTTATTAACGAAGGTGACTATACTGCTGGTGATAAAGCAATTATTTACCGTAGCTCGTCAACCCCACAAACATCCATCATTTTCGGAAACTTGGTCTAGCGGTTGAACATGGTCTAGCGGCCTGAATAAGCTTGGATAACTAATACCTTTGTTCAAGCTGCACGATAGTTGTTTACGCTATCAGGACTTGCATAAACAACTATCATGCTTTCGATGTTAGGATGGTTTAGTAGTTTGCAACTTCCTATGCCTACGGCATTGAAAGGGGAATATCAACACCAAAAGGAATCTAGCGCGGAAAATTCTTGCACTCTTTCCTAACATGAACATGTCAGTTGTGATCACT